AGAGAGAGAGAGAGAGAGAGAGAGAGAGAGAGAGAGAGAGAGAGAGAGAGAGAGAGAGAGAGAGAGAGAGAGGTCTATCCATCTATCTACCTATCTGTCTGTCTATCTATCGATCTATCGATCTATCTGTATGTATATATGTATATATTATATGACGGTGCAGACCGGCACTTCTGCCAGGGTGTAGTTTTTGGGGGGTCTGGTATTTTGCCCCGGGGTGTTTCTATGTCATGCCAGAGAAAAGGTAGCACCTTTGTTGTAGATTGAACGACCGGTAGACAGCACATAAGAAAACCAGCAATTCCACTGTACCGGTCGTTCGATCTACGAGCAAGGGGTACCGGGGCTGGCGAGCAAACTCTTTTTCTTCTCTCACATTTACCAGGGCTGGTCATTCCGGTTTTTTTTTTTTGTGTGATTCCGCTCTGGCCATTCACCCACCATTATCTGCCGGTCGCATTTGGCCGATTTGTATCCATGGGTGTGTACCTACCCACCTACCCACCTACCCACCTAGGTACTACCCACCTATCTACCTACCTACCTAATTAGGTAGGTAGGTAGGTAGGTAGGTAGGTAGATAGGTAGATGGGTACCGAACTCCCTACCCGATGGGGTTGATTCCATGTACCTACCTCGTTTTGTGTAAGAATGCATATGAATCTAATGGGGTGGGTGGATGGCCGGTGAGTATCATGTATTGGTGGAATGACCGGTGAGAGTCATGTACGACTGGTAGTTGATGTCGGATGACTGGTCGGCAAGTTCGTGTACGACCGGTAGTTAATGCTGGATGAATGGCAGGCGAATTCCATGTACTACCGGTAGGTACTGGTTATTGGTTGAATGGCCGGCACTTCCATCTACTACCGGTAGCTAATGTCGGCCGCATGGCCGGGAATTTCATGTAGGACCGGTAGTTAATGCTGGATGAATGGCCGGCGAATTCCATGTACTACCGGTAGGCAGTGAATATATTCGTTTGAATAGCTGGCAATTCTATGTACTACCTACCGGTAGTTAACGTTGGCCGAATGGCCGGGAACGTCATGTAGTACCGGTAGTTAATGCTGGCTGAATGGCCGGCGTATACCATGGACTACCGGTAGTTAATGCTGGATGAATGGATGACGAATTCCATGTACTACCGGTAGGTACTGAAAACAGTTTGAATGGCCGGCTATTGCATGTACTACGGGTAGCTGATGTCTGCTGAATGGTCGGGAATTTCATGTACTACCGGTAGCACGTGAATCGCCGGCGGCAGGCAATGCCAGGACCAGCCAGTCAGCAAGAAGTCTGGTTGCTACTCAAGTACTTGTGTGTGACACGTCAGCCGCTCAAGTAAGCTTATGCGACAAGAAAAAGGTCTGTGCGACACGTTAGCTGCTTACTACTTACCTGTGTTGAGCAGCTGACCTGGCTCACAGGCTTTTAGTTAAAAAAAAAAAAAAAAAAAAGGACGACGGCCTTGAGCTATCTTCATTGAGCTGACCGGCCCCAGGCAATTCAGAAATATTTGATTTTACTCATCAATCAAGTTCCATAATCTGAAAATAAATAAATAAATAAATTAATTAAAAGGGCCTTTACCCGATATAGGCCTCAGGCCTTGTAAAAATAAAGCAGTATGGGCCTTGAAAAGGTAAAGCATTGTGAAAAGGTATCTCGCCAGAGCTCAGAAACGTGAAAGCAGGTCAAAGGTCAAGTTCTCTATYAACAGGCATATCTAAAGCTAAGGCAAAGGGCATTGTCAAAAGACTTACCTGTTCACCAGGAGATGTGTATGTCATGTCTGTTTGGGTAAGAGTGTGTSTGTACGTGCAGGCAGTGTACCTGTTCGTGCAAAGTAAAGTGTTTGTTCAAGCAGTAAATGTGTCTGTTCGTTGAGAGTTGTGCCTGTCCGAAAGTAAAGTCAATAGGCACAGTCCCAGTTCTGRTCTAAGTCCAGGGGTCAGTCCAGATCCAGACTTTCAAATCCAAATTCAGGCCGGGAGGCCTCAGCAGCAGTTGAACTTTATTGGGACTCTACTGGGACACATGCAATGYAGGGTCTGGGACAAGGAAAGAGGCTGAATTGAGCCAATGCAGACCCAGCGAGGAGTATAAAGGAGGCAGCCAGCCTCATTCCTCGCCAGATTCTCCACTGGCTGCAATGCGTGGAAGTGCTGGTGCACTTGTGCGCTGAGTCAGGAGGAGCAGCGCTGGAGGAGAAGATGCGCTGGAGGGAGGAAGAAGCCTGTACGCTGGAAGTGARTGCAGCCATAGCTGCCCAGCGAGTTAGCATTAGTAGTAGAGGGTTAGTATGAAGCTATGAGCAGTATCCAGAGTAGATCCTCATGAGTATTGAAGAGTGTGTATGCATCATAGAGAGGAAGGGATTGAGGCTAAGAGTGTACATTCAAGGTTGGCTATGGAAGATACTTACCTGAGTTGGATGTGACCTGCAGAGGTGGCGCTGATGAGTGRTGATCACATTGTTGATTTGGAGACTATCTGCAGGGGTAGCACTGATTCACTGGAAGGCATATTGATGAGTTGAGTAGAGATTTGTGTTGCGCTGATGAGCGCTGGACTCAGGGAAACTTTGAAACACTTTGTAATCATATTTCTGATAATATAAGCTGTGAGACTCGGTCCTCTTCTTCTCTACCTTTGTCTATGGTCAGACTACTGTTCATTGTGTGTGGAAGATGATGCATGACATGTACACATCTGCATAAGATGGTCCCCAGGACCCATGCAAAAT